AGGAAATACTTCCTCACCAGTGACTCAACCTTCAGAACCTCTCCAGTTCACCCAGTGTTCCACACTAGACCCTGACCACATGACCAAACAGAAAATAAAAATCTGTAGAAGAGAAGGAAAAACTCAAAGTCCAGACACCATTGTCATAACTGAAAAATAGAAGTTTTGAACTCTGATAAATAGACTTGCAGTAAAAAATTCTACTCTGACAAATCACAACTACTGTAAAAATACAGGTAGAAATGAAGTACATGAAATATTTCATTTTTAAGTCTATTAGTTGGGTCAAGAAAATAAAAATAAAAAAAAAGATAAAAAAAGGTGTTTCTTAAGATAACGCAAATGTGACCAAATCACAAAATTATTAATAGTCCTGTATATGGCAGAACGTGATTCCCTTTGAAGTATAATTGCGGTTTAAGTTTTGCAATAGTATTTGATTTAACCCATCCCACATCCTTAAACAATTCAACTCAAAGAAGTGCCTTCATTGTACCTCATAAACTTGAGGTCTACCTTGTGGAAAATGTGTAAACTCAGGTGCAATGCAAGGCTAAAATACTGATGGCTAGCAATTCCATCTTATCCAAGTAACAGTTGTTAAAAGTTTTGCCTGCCTTGTATAAGGGAGGTTCTTTGCTGGTAGAAATGGACACAGACAACATGCTTAACAGTTTATCTTTCTTTCTTTTCTTTTTTTTATCCTCACCTGAGGACATTTTTTAATTTTTTTTTGTTCAGATAGAGTGGAAGGGAAAGAGAGGAAGAGAGAGAGAAACATCAATGTGAAAGGGACTCGATGTGAGTGGCTACCACCCGCACGACCCAACCAGGTCCGGGGACAAACTGCAACTGAGGTACATACCCTTAGCAGGAACCAAACCCAGGTCTCTCTGGACCACAGGCCGATGCTCTAACCGCTGAGCCAAACCGGCCAGGGCAGCTTTATCTTTCTTAAGAGAAATATAACTATTTCGAATCAACTAGGTCACCAGTTATTGATAAATTAAAGTTATTAAAAGTTATTACTACAATGATTTCTCTCCAAGTTGCATCATCTGGATGCCAAAGTACAAGCCAACCTTATAACACATGTGCTATAACTTTAAAAATAGCCTTGATTCCCACATGCTATCAAGGAATGGTTCTCTCTGTCCCTCTGCTTGGAATTAGAATTTTTCTTTTTTCACAATACACAGTCATGATCCAAAAGACAGAAAAACACAAGGAGGTCTGAAAGTATTTCAAGGCATAAAAGCACAAAAAAGTTTAGGCATTTGGTATTTCAACTAATTGTTTAACATTAGAATAAAATTTAATTTGTTTGAAGAGCACTGTGGAACCCTTAAAGCTCAACATTCCATTCTTTTACCTAAAGTGGCCTAAATAACATATCTGGGATTCATTTGTGTATCACATAAGAACAAAGTTTTTTAAAATCCTGCTTGAATTTATTTTATTTTTTAAATGTTTTTGTTGGTTTTTTAGAGAGAGAAGAAGGGAGAGAGTAACAGAAAGATGGATGTGAGAGAGATATATTGATCAGCTGCCTCCTGCACACCCCCTATTGAGGATTGAGCCTGCAACCCAGGCATATGCCCTGACCAGGAATCAAACTGGGACCTCTCAGTCCATGGAACAATACTCAAATCATTGAGCCACACCGGCTGGGCAAAAAAAATCCTGCTTGAATTTAAAATAAAAATATTTCCCAAGTGTTTGATTTGCCAATGAACTCTAATATGTCTGTAAGATAATGCTCTTTAACAAAGATTACTCTATTTTGGAAATATTTTGCCCCAAACCTACTGATACCTTAAAAAATTATTATCCTACTAAAATACCACAAAGTCATTCATTAAAATTATATTCTTTTAAATATAAAGACTCAAACATTCTTCTACTGTTTAGGTCAGCCTTCCAAAGCAATTCAAGAGACTACCCAATAGTTTTCAAAAACTAAAGGGGTTCCACAGGAAGAAAAAAAAAAATATATATATATATATAAATGTAATCAATACACAAAAGTAATGCTTGGCATAAATCAAACACGAGTCCTGTATTTTAACACAAATTTCTGAATATCAGGATTGAGACCTAACAGTAAACATAAGCACCCAACAGTAATTTGGAGTAAGCCAAATTGATAGATCTTGTAAGGAGAATCAAAGAATGTTAAAAATGGAGTTAAAATCTAATTTTATATACGAGGAGACTGAGACCCAGAAAGGTTACACTTGTTCCATAACATGCAGTTTATGGTAGAATCTGACCAAAATAAAATCTCTTAATTCTAAATCCAATGTTCTACTCACCACCAAATATAATTGTGGACCCCAAAGTTCTAAATGCTCTTTTATAACACCCATGTCTTCATATTTTGCACTGAATTGTGCTGTATGGTCGGTATTCACTAGTTAGAATAGCTCTCATTTCTAAAAGTCATTTTTTCAAGTATCACACGTGGAAATAAATTCTGAAACCTGTAACAAAAGTATACACTTTTGAAAGATGGCTAGCCTACTTGCCAGGAGTGAAGATATTTCAAACTTCCCCTGACAACCTTAAAGATGAAGCCAAAACCCAGCCTATCTTAAACAAAGTGTTTATTTCCAACGTTTCCGAGTAAATTAACATTCAACAGACAACTGGCATCATGAGTATCCACAATCATCCTTAAACTCTCAATCCTGTTGCAGGAATAACCACATTCTGTCATATAATTAATAACATCAACTGGGTAAAGGGAAAAGGTGTTTCAGGGAAAAAAACTCATCACCTGGTCCTTCAAATATCAAATGATGTTAAAACACTTTGAAACATTTTGAAGCATTTCTACATTTATGGCATTTAAATTCTTGAATCAAAAAATAATTTGGGAGAACAAAGCAAGCCCTCCTTTTCACAAGGAAAAGCCCACACCCAGACATGCCTATTAGGATTAATACATATATACCTGACACAAACATTGTAATTAAAATCTATTCTAAAATATTAATCACATTTCTACCAAAACTCACAAAATCAGTTACTTTTGCTTTTAACAAGAAAACTGAAACCAATCTGATGTCAATTATAAATTTACTTTGTAAATGAAAACCAAATTAGAGTTGTCAGTAATTAAAGTTTTACAAGTATTACAAAGTCAAAAACGTAGCTTTTATGTAACCATAAAAATAACAATGTGTATATATATACTGCATCTACAGAGTGAGAAGTGTTTCCCACCAGCCCTGAAACAAAGGATTATGTTTCTCCAGAAGCATTATGTTTCTCCCTGTTACTTTACAAAAACAGGGTCTGGGTTTGGGTCCAAACATCATCTAATCATAACTTGATCAGGTATCTTTATACCTACAAGAAATTGTTTTTGAAACAAAAAATGGATCATGCAACAACTGTGGATTTTCAAAGGAAACTTTAGTTTGAAAACAATCACCCATTGCTGTTTTCACATATTTACCAATGATTTAGGTCTATGCATCTACCATGTGTCCAAAATGCTCAGTCTGTTTTAAAGGGACTCTGACTTTGGAGTCTTCATCAGACGGGCTGCTGAACAGAAAAATCCAGGGGAAAACCCCCTTACAGGAAGTTAGCCTAAACTTTTTATTTCCTTTTCAAAGCTGGAAATATTTGAGTTTATAAAGTCTCCCCAGGAGAACGGTATTTGAAACAGTACAATCTGGCCTCAGCTATGAAGTTAAACTGGGAGACGAGCAGCAGCCCCACAGTGATGAAGAGTGAGAAGGGGCAGATGAGGATGAATACTAGTCCAGGACCTCTGGAGCCCGCTAACGAGGAACACACCGTTGACTTCTACACACATCCAAACCACCACTTCGCAGGCCCACAGCAGAGCTTCGCGCTCACCCTTGAAGTTGGCACTACAGAGCCACCTAGGAGACAGGCATTTCATTGAACACTAAATGAGGTGAGAGTGAATCAAGGAGCCTGCGGTAGGGCAGCTGCCAAAGCCTCCAGTGTATGAGTGTGAATGTGTGTGTGTGTGTGTGTGTGTGTGTGCGCGCGCGCGCGTACCAACACCTACTTGGGGCTCAAGGATGGGTGCGGGGGGAAGGGGGGAGTGGTAAAGTGCAATGCAGGAAAGTAAAGAATGGAAGAAGCAGTTAAGAGTAGATAGCGGCCTGCCGTGAGAAAGAAAGGAAGTGAACTAGACTGAAAAGGTCTGGACCGGAGGGGAAGTGAGGAGAACAGGCCCGGGAGAAGATAAAAGATAGGATAGAGGAATTCGAGGCTGAAGGAAAGGGTGGCGGCTGCGAGACAGAGGCAATGGGCAGGGCTGGAAGATAAACGAGGGCGGGACTAAGACGAAAATGAGGGGCGGAGTTTAGGAGAAAGTGAGGGGGCGAAACTAGAGGAGAAGAAAGGGGCGGGGTCAGAAGGGAAGAAGCAAGGGGGCAAAGGGAGGTAGAGAGAGGAAAGCCAGAGACAGGATACGGGAGCGAGTGAGAAGTGGGGGCGGGCTGGAGGGAGAAGCGACCGGGCAGGTCAGGGGAGAGACAGGGAAGCCAGAAGATGGGAAGGTGGTGAGACGAGAGGGGCGGGGCCAGGAGGGAAAAGCGAGGGGCAGGTGAGAGGAAAGGGAAGAGACGGCAGGAAGGGGAATGAGAAGCGGGAGGCGGGGTCAGGAGGGGAGAAGCGAGGGGACACCCGGGAGGTAAAGGAGGGGAACGAGAAGGATGGAGGGGATGAAACGAGGGGCGGGGCCAGGAGGAGAGAACCAGGGGGCAGGTGGGGGAAGAAGGAGGGAAGCGAGAAGGCGGATGGGGTGGGGGGGGATGAGAAGCGAGGGGGCGGGGCCGGGAAGAAGCGAGGGGCACTCGCCAAGGGGGGTGACGAGGTCCTGGGACAACGGCCGATGTGGGGGAGGGCCACTTCATGCAGGGCGCTCTGCGGGAAATTCCGGGACTGCTGAGGGGCGGTGCGGGGTGCGAGTGGGCGCTGTGGGGGCGGTGTGGGCCTCCCATCAGCCGTACCTGTCAGACGGATCTTGATGCTGGAGCCGTTCCTGCGTGTCCCGGGGTTCGACATCTCCCGCCAACGATCAGATAGCCGAGGATCCAGCGCCGCCGCCGCCCCCCGGCCCGGCCCGGCCCGGCCCCGCCGCCGCCGCCTCAAGGTTACGGCTCCGGGCTGGGTGCCGGGGTCCGAGCCGGGACACAAACTCTGCGGCCCAGGCGTCCGGGCGACGGGCGGATGCTAGAGCCGGGAAATCTGCGTTCGACCTGACGCTTCTGACCTTTGCTCTCTTCCAGCCCGGTCCGGAGCCGCCGCCGCCTTCACCACCTCAGAGCCGGACGCCTGCTTCCCTCGCCGCTTCCGCCGCCGCTGCCGCCGCCGCCGCCGCCGCCGCCGCCGCCGCCTCCCGGAGCCGCGCGCGCTCTCGCTACCGTGCCGGCCCGGCCCCGCGCGCGCCCGGGGCTGTGCGCCCCCGCGCCTGCGTGCGTGCGCGGACCCGTGGAACGCGTCGGGGCGGGGCGCGCCGCGCCGCGCGGCTGCGTTGCACCCTAGCCTCGGATTCGCGGGGTCTCGATACTGTCGGCCGTCTTCCTGCTTCGTCCGGTTCCGGGTGGCCTCCATGGGATCCCGAAGGAGGAGATCCCGCGCCCAGAGGCCAGCGCAACGGGCCGCGGGTGTGCGAGACGAGGCCGCTGGCCACTAGCACAAGGGATGTCCGTCCAGCACACGGACGCCCAGGATCTTCGCAACATTTCTCGGAGGAGACAGATGCGGAGGTTGAGGTTCAGAGAACCGAGTTGATTTTCCAGGTCTCTGACTCAAGGATCTGGGCTCCTGCTAGTTATTGAAGAGAGGGTTATCAGTCCATGGCCTGTTACCGCACCAAGCACCTTGCACAAATACTCTTTTTTTTTTTTTTAGTAAAGAGCTTTTAGATAATGCAGTTTCAAGAGAGTGACTTCTCCAAGAGACAAAGCCCTCTCTCTAGGTGTGTTTTCTGTAATTAGTGCTCTCTGTTGACCGTACCAAAGTTGCTAGAATCACAGGAACAAGGTGAGCAAGATTCGAGAGAAGAATTGAGTGGAGAGGTATGTGTTTGTTATTATCCTATCCGCAAAAGCAGCTTTCCAGCCTGTGTTTCCCTGTCTTCTGCTCACATTTCCCTTCCTCCCAGAGTTCCGGGATAAAACTAAAAGCTTTTGGTGCTTTCTACAACAAAGCAAGCCCTCTCTGTTAACCTATTATAGAAAGGAAGTAATATTCTAATAAAGAGGAAAAGCTGAATTTGATTATCAACCTTGTTTTTGACCAACTACCCAATTCTTTCAGTGTCTTTATTTGGTTTGTGTCCTAAGGAAGCCAGGTTCTGAGCCATTGCTGCCACCCCCTGCAGCTGTGGGCCTTTTCTAAGGTCACAGTCCAGAATAAATAGAGCCATCTCCTTAGAGCCCCTTGACATGCCTGGCTACCTGAGCCTGAGCCCTGTGAAAACAGTCTCTCCTGGGCTGGATTCAAGGTTTCTTTGAGCTTCAATCCATCAAATAAAGGGCAGGCCTACCCATTTCTCTGGCCCTTTGCAGCTCAGACTTTCAATGAGTACAAGCTGTGTTTCAGTGACAGACCAGTAGATCCACGATCCAGCTCTGTTAATCTAAGTGTGAGTCTCAGGGTCTGAAAAATCCATCGGAGTCTCTGATGTCCCTAAGAAATCCTCATTGCTCTTTCAGTCTCCTCTTTATTCCCATATTCAAGAAGTCTCCTCTCTAAATCAGAGAAAACATTTCCCTGGTCCCTGTTCTGATAACCAGCTGTTTTCCTGACCTAAAAACCTTTAGTCTGTTAACCTGTTTTCTTACCTGCCTAGACATCTGCACCTTCCTTTGCTTGATTGTTTCCTTAACACCTGAGTCTGGAGGTTACTTTTGGAAGTTACTGAAAGGCATTTCAGTTTACTCATTAACAAGTAATTGCTGTTGTCATTTAACAAGGTACATCTAACAGCGTCTTTCAACACAGCCTGCACAAGTAGGACCTTCCTAAATGGAAGCACATGTTTTGTTCATCAGCAAACATGAGCCACCTACTATGTGACTAAGGACAAGGAACACAAATAAGTCACAGCTATAGCATTTCAGAGGCTCAGTTTACTGGATGAAATAGACATGAACAACTGACAATGATACAGTGATGGAGATGTGTGCAGAGGGCAAGAACATAGGTTACAGGACAGTTCTACCTCGGAGCAGAGATATGGGAAGATTTTAGAAGAATCACAGAAGAGCCCTGACCGGTTTTGCTCAGCGGTTAGAGCGTCGGCCTGTGGTCCAGAGAGACCCGGGTTCAGTTCCTGCTAAGGGCACGTATCTCGGTTGCAGTTTGTCCCCAGCCCTGGTTGGTCGTGCGGGTGGCAGCCGCTCGATGTGTCCCTTTCACATCGATGTTTCTCTCTCTCTCTCCCTCCCCCTCCTACTCTATCTGAACAAAAATGGAAAAATGTCCTCGGGTGAGGATAAAAAACAAAACAAACCAAAAAAAAAGAATCACAGAAGACCTGATCTAAGATTTAAAGGCAGAGCAGAGAGGTGGGGAAGGGCACCATAAACAAGAGGGAACAGCTTGTGCAAAGGCATGGAAATAAATGTATTTCAATGTAAGTGCAGTCACGTAGCACTGCATCTTCCATCCTTACATCATCAATCTATTCAAAATAGATAGATGAGCCTAACTGGTGTGGCTCAGTGGTTGAGCGTCGACCCATGCACTAAGAGGTAGCCGGTTCAATTTCTGATCAGGGCACATGCCCAGGTTGTGGGCCAAATCCCCAGTGGGGGGCATGCAGGAGGCAGCCAATCAATGTTCTGTCTCATCGATGTTTCTACTTCTCTCCCTCTCTCTCTAAAATCAGTAAAAGGGGGGCAAAAGAATCAACAGGCACAATTTTGTGCTAAGGCTGTGGGCCAGCCCTAACAATGAACTTAAGGTGTACCTTAATATCCTTTCATCATGTATCAGATTTATCAAAAATTCTATCTTCTAAAGATATCTAGAAAAAATAGTTGGGAAATGTCCAACAATTCTGCTGAGACAGAGATAAAGTTCGGTGAGTCTTTTTAAAGTATCCTCTTTGCAATGAAGAGCAATTTTGACCCTGCTTGCTGTGTAGGATTTGACAGTTGATTTTATTTCCCCCAAACGTATCACATCCATGAGCCAGCGTCTGTTTGGATCTGACTAGAGAATTCTTTACATGTTTTTTTTTCCTCGCCCGAGGACATTTTTCCATTTTTGTTCAGAGAGAGTTGGAGGGGGAGAGAGAGAGAGAGAGAGAGAGAGAGAGAGAGAGAGAAACATCGACGTGAAAAGGACACATCGAGTGGCTGCTACCCGCACGACCAACCAGGGCCGGGGACAAACTGCAACCAAGGTACACCCTTAGCGGGAACCAAACCTGGGTCTCTCTGGACTGCAGGCTGATGCTCTAACCGCTGAGCCAAACTGACCAGGGCTCTTTACCTGTTTTTTGAATCCCAAATCTCTTTGGAGAATCTGATGGAAACCGTGGATCTTTTCCTCAGAAAAACTCATATGTACAAATATATAACACATTTTGTATCTGTTTTCAGTGGGTACAAAATCTCCTGAAATCAACCTGTGGCTCTTGTAAAGTCTCGTAGCTCCTGGATTAAGAATTCTTAATCCGCCCTGGCCAGTTTGGCTCAGTGGTTAGAGCGTCGGCCTGCGGTCCTGAGAGACCCGGGTTCGGTTCCCGCTAAGGGCGCGTACCTCGGTTGCAGTTTGTCCCCGGCCCTGGTCGGTCGTGTGGGTGGCAGCCACTCGATGTGTTCCTTTCACATCGATGTTTCTCTCTCTCTCTCTCTGTTCCTCTCTCTCCCTCCCACTCTACCTGAACAAAAAAATGGGAAAATGTCCTCGGGTGAGGATAAAAAAAAAAGAATTCTTAATCTAAAGGAAATGATCAAGCAAATAACATTGGGAATGTCACATATATATTTGTTTAGGAGCCAGCACAGTAGTAGCCCCCTTTGAAAACTGGGTATGCTGGAAAGAGGGCTGCTCTGACCCACACATACCCACACTCTACCCTGGCTCTGTCACATTACCAGCTGGTACTCGAGCAAGTTAATTAAATTCTCCAAGCCTCACTTTGTTCATCTGTAAAATGGCAATAGTGCCTGTCACCCAGAGTTAAAAATAAATCATAGATTTATTTAAATTCTTCATTTAACTGAAATCATGGGTTTCAATTAAACCCTGGACATAGACTTAGCTGTCTATTACATCAGGCACTCAGTAAATGGTAGTTCTTATTAGTAAGTGTAAAATGTGTGTGTTAGTCTTTGCTGTGAAACCTAGTGCTATGACTAGGGAAATCTGTTTGGGATGTTGTGCAGACCGTCCCTGGTGGGAGTGGATGGTTGTAACAAATGCCTCTTGAGAACACATTGCTGTACCTGAGCTGGTGCCTCTGCAGCCAGTGGCTAGATCAGATTAGCCTTTAAGGTCTTTTCTAGATCTAGGCTCCAGGCTTCTTTTGCTTTTCACCTGAACATCAAGTTTTTCAAACAATTGAATGTACAAAATTGTGATTAATTAGCACATTTATTTATTCTTTCATGCCCAGAAGCCTTTAGGATCTTCCTCTAAATTACATCCTAAACTTAATATTACCAATATGCAAGTCTTACTATAGTATTGTCATTGGCAGGGTTTATTACTTGGGTTTTTTTAATTGAAAATTTTGTTGAGATAATTGTATTTTTTTTCCTTTACCCAAGGACATTTTCCTATTTTTTGTTCAGATAGAGTGGGAGGGAGAGAGAGGAAGAGAGAGAGAGAGAAACATCGACGTGAAAGGGACACATCGAGTGGCTGCCATCCACACGACCATCCAGGGCCAGGGACAAACTGCAACCGAGGTACGTGCCCTTGGTGAGAACCAAACCCAGGTCTCTCTGGACCGCAGGCCGATGCTCTAACCGCTAAGCCAAACCAGCCAGAGCATATTGAGATAATTGTAGATTCACATGCAGTTGTAAAAAATAATACAGAGAGATCCCTGTATACTTTGCCCAGTTTTCCCCAATAACAATTTGCAAAACTGTAGTATCACAACCAAGATACTGACATTGATGCAATTCAATGAAATTCAGATATTTCTTATACTGGTGTGTGTGTGTTAGTGTGTTAATTAAGTTCTACACAGTTATAACACCTGTATAGGTTCAAGTATCCACCACCACACTCAAAGTACTGAATAGTCCAACACCACACGAATCCCTCAGGTTTAGAACCATAGCTTTTGTCCCACCCCCAAGACCTGGCAACCACTAATCTGTTCTCCATTTCTGAAATGTTGTGA